CCTTCCTTCCTTCCTTCCTTCCTTCCTTCCTTCCTTCCTCTCTCTCTTTCTTTTCTTGCTTTCTTGCTTTTTTTCTTTGAGATGGAGTCTCACTCTGTAGCTCAGGCTGGTGTGCAGTGGCAGGACCTCAGCTCACTGCAACCTCTGTCTCCTGGGTCCCGGTTCAAGCAATTTTCCTGCCTCAGCCTCCCGAGTAGCTGGGATTACAGACACGTGCCACCAAGCACAGCTAATTTTTGTATTTTTAATAGAGACGGGTTTCACCATTTTGGCCAGGATGGTCTTGATCTCTTGACCTAATGATCCGCCTGCCTCGGCCTCCCAAAGTGCGGGATTACAGTCATGAGCCACTGTGCCTGGCCATTGGTTGCTTTTTCTTAATGAGAAAAACATTTTGGTGGAATATGATGTTTTTAGGGGACAATGAAGTCATGTAAATAAATGTAGACAGTAAGTTGTGTGAGTGAAGATGATTTTGGCTTTCACTTTTTTGAATAAAAATGATTTGAATCATACATATTTTCCAGTAATTTGTTTATTGGTTTAATTTTACTGGCATAAATGAAAGCATATTTGTCCCCCAGCAAAATCTTGAGTTTGTTAAATTTCTTGGATTCTTTCATGCTTGAGAATGTTCACTGCTTTTTTTTGAAGTGGAAAAAATTCGGGTGGAATATGATGTTTTTAGAGGACACTTTCCTTCCCTCACAAACAACAACAAATTACTCCCGAAATTTTTTATGCACACTTAGATATAGGAGATAGAGAGAAATAATTTTTATAATGAGATTATATCCACTACTTCTTAAATTAAAAGTTTTAAATTTATGCTCACATAATTTTAAAGAAAGAAAAAGAAATAGGTAAAACCAAAGTAATTGCTAAATTTAAATGAGTAGTTCTCCACTAAAAGAGATACGATTTTGTAAAAGGTCCTTCCAGGGTTAACAATAAAAGATTATGAAAAAAAGATTTTGGAGTCATTTTTTTTTTGTGATGTGTGTCATTTAGAAGCATTATATATTATTTAGCTATTAAGAAAACGGGAATATTTGTACTATTACATTTACCCCCTCTCCCTTTTTTCTCTGGCCAGTCTTTTTTAGGTGAGTTACTGCTTTCATGTTTTTAAGCAAATGACATTTCTATTCTGTTCTGGAACCATAAGTCTTGTCATAAGTTGTTTCTCCAGTTTTTCTAAGAATATTTTTATTTTGATTGGTCTCTTGATTAGGTTTCAATGTCAAGTAGGTTTTTTTCTGTCCAGAAAAATTCATGGATACTGTGTTCCTGAGGTCTTGCACATGT